GCTGAAGTCTTATCTTAGCTCACCACCTCTGTTGACTAAGGCTGTAGATGGAGAGATTCTTTATCTGTACCTGGGGATTTCAGATGAGGCCATTAGTTCAGTTCTGGTGAGAGAGGAAGCCAAGCAACAGAAACCAATCTATTATATCAGCAGTGTATTACACGGAGCAGAGCTGAGATATCCTATAGCGGAGAGAGCAGCACTAGCAGTTGTCACTTCGGCTAGGAAGTTGAGGCCGTATTTCCAGTCACACCCAATTATTGTTCTTACAGATCAACCTCTCCGGCAGATTCTGCAGAAACCAGAATGCTCTGGTAGATTAATTAAGTGGGCAGTAGAACTGGGGGAGTTTGAGATCACGTTTCAGCAGAGATCGGCCATCCGAGCTCAAGCATTAGCAGATTTTATTGTTGAATGCACTCCATGTCCTTCAACCCCTACTCCAGAGCCCAACGACTGGACCTTATATGTTGACGGAGCATCCAGTAGCAAGGGTTCAGGGGCTGGCACTCTCTTGATCGGTCCAGAGGGATACCGAAGTGAACATGCTCTGAAATTCAACTTTGATGCAACAAATAACATGGCTGAGTATGAAGCTCTGCTACTTGGCCTACAACTAGCATTAGAGTTGAAAATCAGTGCAATTCAAGTGTACAGTGACTCCCAGCTGGTGGTGAACCAAATCAACTATATTTGCGAAGTCGTTGATCCTGTGATGATGAAGTATGTAGCCTTGGTGGCTGAGCTAAAGTGCAAATTCCAGAAATTCTGTTTGAGTAAAATCCCCTAAGCTGAGAATGAACAGGCAGATTCACTCTCCAAGTTTGCCTCTGATAGCTCTTTAAGCTCCAGATCTGTTTTTGTAGAGGTCCTAGATGAACCAAGCTTCACGAAGCCTCGGGTGATGGAGATTAGCACAGACCCTGACACGTCGAGCTGGACTGATTCGATTGTCTCCTTTTTACGAGATGGGATCGTACCTGAGAACAGACAGGAGGCAATGAAATTGAGGAAGAAAGCATCTCGATATACACTCGTTAATGGGGTCCTGTATAAGAGATCTTTCTCACTTCCTCTTCTATGGTGTTTAAGCCCTTATGAAGCTAAATATGCACTTCGAGAGGTACATGAAGGTGTCTGTGGAAGCCATGTTGGTGCCAGGACTCTGGCTCACAAAGTCTTACGGCAAGGATATTACTGGCCAAACATGTACAAAGATGCCACTTGCTTTGTTCAGAAGTGCCCGAAATGTCAATTCTTCGCACATCTGACCCACCAACCAGCAGAAGAGCTCACGAACTTGGTAGCACCATGGCCATTTGCTCAGTGGGGACTGGATCTTTTAGGCCCATTCGTGAAAGGGGTTGGTGGTGTAACCCATCTGGTTGTTGGTGTGGATTATTTCACGAAGTGGGTTGAAGCTCGGCCTTTATCTAGTCTTACCTCCAAGAAGGTCGAAGATTTTGTTTTCGGTTCAATCATCTGCAGATATGGGATTCCAAATCAGATTATGGCTGATAATGGAACTCAATTCAATTGCTCCTCATTTCGAGATTTCTGCTCCAGTTATGGGATCAAGTTACAGTTCACCTCCGTTCACCATCCGGAGTCCAATGGCATGGTTGAATCTGTTAACAAATGCATCCTGGAAGGTATAAGGCCGAGATTGGAGTAGCATAAGGCCAAGTGGGCAGACGAGCTCAATAACGTCCTCTGGGCATACAGAACCACGAGCCGAACTGCCACAGGTACTACATTAAACCAAATCTATTTGATTAATTTATATATCATTTTACTTCTTCTGTTACGCCTTACCTTAGAGCAAATATGCATAACGCATAAAGCGCATTCTAAAGTTATAATTAATTGAAATAGGTGAAACACCCTACCACCTGGCCTTTGGTACCGAAGCAGTCATTCCTGTTGAGATAGGAGTCCCAAGCTTCCGGGTCACCCATTTCGATGAAGAACGAAATGGATAACTGCTTCGGGAAAACCTTGATCTGCTTGCTGAAGTCAGAGAAGAAGCTCGGCTTCGAACTCTTGTATACAAGCAGAAACTAGTCAACTTCTACAATAAACGGGTCCGCCCTCGAACATTCAAAGTAGGAGACCTTGTTCTCAGAAAAGCTGGCCTAACGGGGTTTGAAACTCGTTTTGGCAAACTTGCCCCAAATTGGGAAGGCCCCTATGCCGTGGCCGAGGTGCCACATCCTGGTGCTTATATTCTCCAAGACGCTGAAGGAAAGAGAGTTCCTAGAGTCTGGAATGTCAATAACTTGAAGAAATTTTACCCCTAATAAAATTCTTTCAAGTGTTTTAAGTCTTACTGTTCTTTACGTTTCTCACTTCTTATTTATTAAGAATCATTTTACCTCTTATTCTATGTATCTGAGGTCAATCAGTTCATTCACTTCTGTTAATAAATGTCACTTCACATTTGAAGTGCTTTGTTTCCTTTTAATTTGTTCACAATGATGTACTTGTTCCTAATTCATATGAAGTGGCTTACTTCTTCTTAACTCATCTGAAGTGAATTACTTTGGTTAATCTCTAAAGTGGCTTACTTCTTCTTAACTCATCTGAAGTGAATTACTTTGGTTAATCTCTAAAGTGGCTTACTTCTTCTTAATTCGTCTGAAGTGAATTACTTTGGTTAATCTCTAAAGTGGCTTACTTCTTCTTAATTCGTCTGAAGTGAATTACTTCTTCTTAATTCTTCCTCATTCGTCTCAAGTACTCTTAGTTCTTTCATTCATAAAACATAACAAAAATATAAACCAAACATAAACAAATACATAATTTCATTTAATGTAATAAAAGTGTTACAAACTGTTTAAATATTCTACAAAAAAATTAAAAACAACAAAACAAAATTAATTCTCTGCTGGAGGAGGTGGCTCCACTAGCTCCTCTTCAGCTGGAAGAGGTGGCTGTCTTGGCTGCTGCTCGTCTGGCAGAGAAGGCTGATCATCATCAGATGGAACTGGATGAATCTCCACTTCTGGTGCTGGTTGGCTTTTATCCACTTCAGCTCCATCTGCTCCTGCCTCCACCCCGCCTCTTTCTACCTCTGCCTCTTCTTCTTCTTCCACTGCAACGAACTCAAAGTCGAAGTTCGGAGGGAAAACAGTGCGTCCATCAGCATCATGATCCCACTTCAGTTTGATCTCTGGGCGGAAGTCTGCTGACATACTTTCACCATCTTCCTCCACTCCAGCTTCTTGCTCTCCGAAGGTTATCCTTGTCACATCCACTTCGGGATAAACAGTCTTCACCTTCTTTCTGCAGTCCGTGAAGGCAATGATGGCAGTTGGCAATCGGTAGAGGTTGACGATGTTGTCAAACGAGCTAGAGCTAATGAAGTTGCTGATGTGCTCCTTCATCCCATTGTGCACCAAGGTCTGCACATTCCCCTTCAGCTCCAAGAAAGCCTCCTTCGTCAGCTTTAATTCTTGTGCCAGAGCCTCATGCTCGCTTTCAGAGATCTTTCGTTTGGTCTCTTCAAAGCCGAGCTTGGTGCTCAGGGACGATCTCTCCTGTTCCAACTGCTTCACAGATGGAACCACCTCGTTCAGAGCCTCTTGCAGCTCTTTATTTTTCTTTTCCAGCTCCTCCTTCTCCTTTTGCAGCTGGTCACACTGCCTCTGCAAGAGTGCGCGCTCCTTTGTACTCTCCCTGAACTCCTGGGCTAGACCATTCACCCAACTCGCGCTCTGCAAATCAAAGCAGAAGTTCAAAGAGAAAGAAGAGAAGAAGAAACAGCATAAATAAACAGCAGCACTAATTTAACGTACCTCAAGAACATGCCTCACAACAGATGCTCCCCCGTACCTTAGAGCTTCTTCTCGCGCGTTGCGTTGGTCCACTTCGGGGAAGGTGCTGTTGATAAACCACCTAGCCCCCATCATGTTCTTCGCCTCGAACAGGCTGCTCTGAGTCACTGCAGGGGAAACAGGGCCCTTCCCCTTACCAGGAGCCCGTACCTCAGCCCCTTCCTCCAACCGTCTGAGCTCGGGGTCCAGCTCAGCAGGAGAAGGCTGAGGTACGAACTCAGGCACCTCATTCCCCTCAACCTCCTCCACCACCTTCTGCTTCTTTTGCAGTGCCCTCCTCTCCTCCCAGCCTTTCCTCTTCAGCGGTGGCACCTCCTCCTCCGTCCCAGCTGACGCCAAGGGCAACACCTCCTTCCCAGCCCTCCCCTCATCCACTTGTTTGGTTGAAGTCTTTGACTTCTTCCTTGGCTTCTTGGGGATGGGCGCTCCTCCAGCAGTGTTCAAAAATTGATTCATGTCAGCTGCAAAGCAAGAAACACAATATTAGTCACCATTTTATATTCTACATTTAACGCTACAGTATATGTCAAACAAACCTTCACTCAGAGCGCTTGGCCCATAGAGCTCAGCAACCTCTATGCATGCTGCGCTGGTGAGGTCCATGATATTCAACACATC